AAAACGGAATTATTATAATCTCAATTCAAGTGATGAAGGATTTTTAAAGGCTGACGGTAATTAGTGTGGCGTGATATTGTAAGGTTAACCCTGCCTGCTTTAAATGTTTTAAAATGATTAACAGTTGAAAACATTCCTTAGAAATTTAGAAAAGTAATCAAAAAGTAATCACATGTAATCAGTTACATTACACTACTTATTACATTTTAATAGGGTAACTTGTAGTCTGTAACCTGTTAAGTAACCTTCCCAACACTGTTGTTTTGTAACCTGTACAATGTGTTTATTTGAAAAGAAATGGAGAAATGGTCTGTTTTTGCTCTTTTCCAGCCTAGAATGCTTCTGATTTTGTCGTCATAGCTAATTATGACCAGTTTTTGCAGTAAAGACTTCAAAATGTCCACTAGCCTCTTTTTAGTCACAGTTCAGCTCATGAAAAATGGGGGCAAAAACAAAAGTGTTGCGTTTATAATTTTGTTCAGTGTATGTGTTTATCTCCTGACTTGTGCTTTATGTCAGTGTTCTTTTGAAAGCCTCCTCCACGGTGGTTTAATTGTTTTGAAATATTCCCAAAAACTGTAATCATGCAGGAAAATTACCCTGAAATATAAATTCGTTCTTAGGTAGCCAGTGTTTAATCTGCAGGTTTACTAGTTATTGAGCAATTTGCAAATGCAGTTGAAAGGGCAGCGTTCCCACATCTAAAAAAAAAGCTATTTTGTGATGGAAACATCAAATGATAGCCTATTTAAAATGTTTAAGATTTAGAATTACATAGGTGAGACCAGGGCTTCTTGTCATACTTTTACTCAAGTGAGTATTTCTCATGATAGGTTTATTTTTGTTTTATTAAGTCAACATACCTTAATGTCTTGTCTTTTCAACATGTTCACTGTAATTGCCAAACAATAATGTGAACAATTTAAAATGTTTCAGCTTTTGTGCTAAATGTAAGCTAAATAATAAAACAGCCATGAAAATCAAAACAATATGAAACAGCAGGGGTAAACAGTTATAGAATAATAGGTTAGAATTAGAACATCATTAAAAACGTATTCTAATTTATAAAGGTTTTAAACTAGATTTTTAAAACCAACATGCAAAGCCATTGATGACAACGTGTAGGCTACAGAACAGCGCTTGTGACAACTTGCCTTGAGCAGATAAAACTGAAACAAGCCTATTTTATTTGATACACATCTGTTGGAGCCAATAATGAAACTGTAGGCTAATTATATTGTAATATCTAAATTGATCTGTAGTAGGCCAAGTATCAACCAGAATGGTATTCAAAAGAAATACATCGTGTAAAACATATTTTCATAATTTTCTTTTAAAAAACCACCAATTACATCCTAAGTCAATGGAACACAGCCACATGACCTCATGGCCTGGATGAAGTCCGGTCGATAGGTTCTTATACAAGAATCCGTTCCGCGTTTTGCAGAAATTCTGTGCGTGGAAAAAAAAAGTCGCCTCACCTGCTGAGCGCTCCAACATATCACTCCGCAGGGTCAGTTTATATTATTTTTATTTTGCACTGGCGTTTGTAAAACCGCCAATATGTGATTTAAAAATACATTCTAGTGTTATTATGAAGGATAACGGCATGCACTTCTGTGTGAGAGGGTGTCGTTCCTCTGAGTGCCGTGTTTAATGTTGTGGCACTATTTATCATGGTGTCGCTCGCAGGGCGTGATTCGGTTACACTCAAATATGGCTACCATGGAGTCAGAGCTACAACTTTAATATTTGTACTAATGCATAAATGTAACGTTTTACGTCATTCTTCGCTCTACAGTCGCGTCGAATTATCGTTTTTTTGCGTGTACAAATTGTGAATACACAGGCAAGGAGATCATCTCGATGTGTTTAGCGTTAATAAAGTGTTGCTCGAAATTGCAGCTTGCTCCGCGAGCTGATCGAAATCGTCAGGATTGAAAGCGAAATCTGCTTTCGGTTTTCTCTCATTCGAGGATATTTTTGGGCTGCATTTTCCCGAATGCGGCCAGGGCTCGGCTCCTGTCATCGACTCAGATAGCGGTCGGTATGGCTTGTTTTCGGATGAGGGATGTAACCCGCGAGGATTTGGCGATGTGGGATGAAGCGGAATAAAGAAAAGTGATCCGTTCAAACCGAAGGAAAGCGGCTGCTTTCTGCCTATGGATTAAACATTGTAGGTTTTCTGGATCTAAAAGTGGATTTTACTGGAATACGTGTACAGTATCGCAGAAGATATCGCTTTGTCACGGTGGCTTATTTTCCTGAGGAATAGTGGTGTCCCCCCCCCCAACCCCCCCAGCGCCACAAACACATAACAAAAGTACTATATGACGGTTCTTGTCATGAAGGAAATAAATACAATTTGCTAGGGTCGAAGAGGACATTAATGCAGTTAAAACACAAAAATAATGCCCATGTGAACGCATTAGCTGGTGCTGCTACCATGTTGTGAGTTAGAAAACCTGTTTATGAACAATGTCCTTACATCTGTCCAAAACTTAAGTGAAAACTTTAAATTGCATGTAGAGATACAACATTTGCAAATTATGTGTTGTAAAATGAATCCAAAGACATTAATAATTATGAAGCAGCATCATTCTGTGTGATCATCAAATGAGTGAAAAGGGGGAAAGATTCAAAGGCCTGTATCCTTTTGTAACCTTTAACTTTTTATTACATGTTACTTGTTATTTAGTATTTTTTAATGACTTTGTAATACCTCTTGAGAGGTTTGGAAATCCTTTGCTCTTGCAAGGTTGATACTGATGTTAACTATGGGCTGATGATTGCTATGGACTCAGCAGTTGTATTGTGTTATGCCAATTTTAAAAGACACCTTTAAACCATTGTCTTTATACTTCTGGTCCATATGTTGATATTTTATTTTCTGTTAAAGACCTCATGAAATCAGACTTAGAATTTTGGCGACTTTTAGTTCATGTTTCATTTACTCTTGGTTGACAAAATAAACAGCATTTTTTTTTTCTTCTGAAAAAGGACTGAAAATATTGATGCGTCATCCTGTGCTTAAAGGGGTCCTATTGTGCTTTTTCACTTTTTCAACTTTAGTTAGTCTGTAATGTTGCTGTTTGAGCATAAAAAATATCTGCAAAGT